GCGGGGGGCCAGCGGTGGCGGGGGGGCGAGCGGGCGGGCCCCCCTGCCTGGGGCAGCCGGGGCACTGAGGGCGCTGCTGCCGGTCCCAGGTGCAGGTGGCTCGGCGGCCCTGGCTCTACACTGAAAGAGGCGAGAACCAGATCGGGGGCTTCGTGAAGGAATTTACCAACATCGCCTTCCTCACCGTCAAGGTAGGGCTGAGGGGGTCCAGGAGACAGGGACAGAGCTGCTGGCCACGGTGCAGGCAGCGTGCCAGGCGCTGGTGCTGCGGTCAGAGCGGGGCAGTGCTGGCTGGGCTGCAGGCAGCAGCAGCCCCACGGCTGGGATTGACCTGCTGCCTGTTTCCCACAGGGAGCCGGCCACATGGTGCCCACGGACCGGCCGCTCGCTGCCTTCACCATGTTCAGCCGCTTCATTAAAAATGAGCCTTATTAGGAGTTGCGGAGGCAGTGCCTGGCACCCCGGCCGCCCTCACCACCCGGCACCTCCTGCGCAGCCCGTCCTCGCTGCTGCTCAGCTGCGCCCAGGCTCCCTGCGCCATGAAACAAGTCGCTCCTGCAGCAGCAGGGCTCCCCGCTCCAGCCCAGGGGCTCTGCCCAGCCCTGCAGGACGGTGCCCGGCTGGGCAGGGTGGAGGATGGGACTGGTTGCGGTGGGTGGGGGGCGAGGAGTCCCAGGGGCTCTGTCCTTGCTGGGTGAGGAGTCGTGCCCCTGCTGCAGCCGCCTCCTCGCTTGTGGCTTCCTGTCTGGCCTCCTCCCTGTCTGGGCAGGCAGCTACTTCCCTCCTGGGAGGGGAGCAATCCCCACCACTTCCCTCTGCCCCACGGCCCCTGCACGCACACCGCCCTGGGCAGGCTCCGAGGCAGCTGCCCCCGCCAGGAAAGCACAGTTCACGTGGCAGCTGGGCGCTGCTCCCTCAGGGAATTTCTGCTCCTCTCTAAACTGCTCCTACATCTGATCCTGGTGAAGGAGGCTTACCATGAAGACAATCCCACCGCCCGCTCACTGCCTGGGGCACGCAGTGCTTCTGGGAACTCGCAATAAACTCTCTGAACAAGGTGGTTCTGCTCCTCATTGCCCAGCTCCTTGCACCGCTTTGCTACCCCAGCACTTTGCTTTCCTTTGCTCTCTGCGGAGCACCACTACGCGCCAAGGATCCAGCCAAGGTGAGTGCTGATGCGCCGTGCCGGTGAGCTGGGGCCTGTGGTCTGTGCCCCCCACTCTGCAGGGGGTTGCTGAGGCCTGGAGACAACCCACCCGCAAGAGAAGGGGAAGCGCAGTTGCTCCAAGCCCGCTGCCGCTGTTCTGTGTCTGTCTGCCGAGTACCTGAGCCGGGGGAGCGGCACTCTCTGCCCCCGTCCCCATCTCCCCATGTGCTGGCAGCCATGCGGTCCAGTGTGGGCACATCCTCCAAGCAATGAGGCCGCGTGGGTTGGAGTCGAGTCGTTTATTAGTGTAATGAGAAGGGGTGCAGCAGGGGTTCCCAGAGCGGCTGTCTCCACCTTGCTGCTACCCACCCGGGCATGGGCGCCCTGCAGGACGTGCCAGTGGTACCAGGGAAGCTGCTTCCTACCTACAGTCTACGGGTCCAGCCCGGGATCTGCCCTCGGTCCAGGGTGAAGGAGTGAGTCGGGGGAAGAGCTAGAGCTGGCGGGGGTCCACGCTGGGCTCTGCAGGCCTTGAGCTGGGGTAGGTGGGGGTGGTAGGGGCCGAGCGGTATTTCTCAATCACTTCCCGCAGCCCCTTGGAGAAGTGGAGATCAGCTCCCACCGTGAGGAATCCCTGTGAAGGAGAAGAGGATTAGTGCAAGGCTGGGTGGGACTGCGCCCTGCCCCAGCAGGACGTGGTCCCTGCGCCCGCTGCGGGGGCCCGGGCTGTCCCCATCCTGCCGCGTACCGCGTGGTTTGTGACCACCTCCTTGGTGAAGTCCATGCCTTCTGGCAGCGGGATCTGCACCCCCTTTTTAGTCCTCTCTGCAGGGAGGGAGAGATGCAGTGAAGCTGAGTCCCACCGTGCCCCTGCCCCAAGCCCAGCCATGTGCAGGCAGCGGTGGTGCCTACCGTTAATGATGGGCATGATTGTCAGCTGCAGCAGGGTCTTCAGTGGGGCCTGCAGTGAGAACAGCTGGGGAGAGAGGAGCGCGGGTGAGTGCGCCGCAGCAGCAGCAGACCTGCCCACCTGCACTGGGACTGGGTGGGCTAGAAGGGGTGTGCTGCGATGTGCGGCCCCTCCCCAAGCCTGCCCCGTGCTGTGGCCGGGGGCTAGCATGGAGGCTCGACCCCCAGGGCTGGCGCAGGTCCGCTCACCGCTAGCGACTCCAGCGCAGACTGCTTGGAGTAGATGCGAAACCTGCAGAGGAGAAAGCAGCCGTCAGTGGGGCGCAGAGGGGACCTTCCCCACAGCCTCCGCGGGAGCCCCGCATGGGCCGTACCGTCGCAGGTCCAGCTGCACGCGCAGCGCCTTCCCCTGCAGAAACACCTTGGCACTCAGCTTTGTTTCCTAGGGAGAGAGAAGGCTGAATCACAGCCCTGCTGTGCCCGCTGCGGGCAGGCAGCTGGCCAGGCTGGCTGCTCCGCGGGCCCAGTTGTGCCTCTGCTTTGGGACACCAGAGCCTTCCCACGTCGGGTGGGAAACACTCTTCCCCTGCGTGCTGGGGTGGCTGTGCAGAGCCCCGGCCACGCGCGCCCCTCCCGGCCAGCACCCCGCTCACCATGGCCATGCTGGAGAGCTGGACGGCGGGGCGGCCTGGGGGCACCAGCGAGATGTTGAGGAAGGCAGAGACGGAGACGGAGGTGCCCGAGGGTTTGATGATGCAGCGCGGCGGAGCCGACACCTGCAGCACCAGCCGCAGGGGAGCATCCACAGCGGGGCTCTGGGGAGGGCAGGTGAGGCAGAGGCATGGAGCTGGGCAGGGCTGTGCTCTGCCCCAGGGGCTCCCCTGTGCCTCCCGCCCCGGCCAGGTGCTCCTCTCACCAGCATGAAGATGGTCCCGAAGAAGGTGGCTCTCAGCAAAACCTCCAGGTCCTTGGGCACCTGCAGGGAGGACAAACCACTGGAGGGTAAGCAAGCGAGCAGTTGCTGTTGATCCCAGCAGAGCTGCTCCCTGGGTGGCACCTCCTCTGCTCTGCTGGCAGAGCCCAGCCCTCCCTCCTGCCTGGCAGCAGGCCCCTGCCCCCAGAGAGCTGCCTGTGCGCAGCTGGTGACCCGGCACTGCTTACCTTCTCCCCCTCAAGCTCTATGGCCAGCACGCCCGCCTGGAAGTATGCGTGCATGGCCGAGTCAAAGAAGTACTCGGAGAAGGCAACGTAGACCATGCGCTCGGTCTCCTTGATCACCGGCTCCACCGCGTGGTTCTCCAGCTCCTGGTTCTCTCTTGCACGGGGGAAGAACATGCCCTGGGCCAAGAACAGGAGATGTTTCCGTAGCTGTAGCACAGCCCACCCTGCTCGCTCTGTGGTGTCCAGCGTGCAGGCTGGCACAGCCGCTCCCATGGGGACGGTAAGAGGGTCGGCAGGGCAGGATCCAGTGTTCACCTTGAAGTCTAGGTCGAGGGTGTCCGTGGAGACGGCCGGATCCCGCAGGAGGGAGTAGTCAATCCCAATGTGCTCATCCACATCATTCCGCACTGCCAGGGAAGATGTGCTGTCGTGACCAAGCCTGCGGGCTGTCCGGCAGCCTGATGCCCACCCAGCTCTGCCCTCCCCACGGTGAGCGGGGTCCGGTCCCTTCCCCCAGGGCAACGCTCACCCGGCACCGTGTCCAGGAGGGAGTTCAGCAGCACCAGGCTGGCGTGCTCCAGGGACGGGCAGATCTGAAAGGCAAAGGGCTGGGCTAAGAGGGGAATGGGATGAGGACCGGGACCCTCCTCCCGCTGTGGGGCAGGGCAATGCGAGGCTCCCCTGGGCTCCACCTCCCATCTCCACTTGGCCATACCTGCTGGCTGAGGAGGAAGCGCATCCCTGTGACGATGAAGGTGCTCAGGAACTCGTAGACCTTACTGCAGGACACAACAGCAGTTCTGAAGCTGCCTGCCTTTCCCTGCGGCTCCAGCCCTGCCCTCCCTTCCCGTGCAAGCACACAGCCTGGGATGGGGAAGTCCCGAGGGTGCAGAAAGGGGGACCGGGGAGCCGGGCACAGGCGGAGCTGGCCCGGTGGAGGGACAGGGCTGCTGCGGCAGGGCTGGGTGTACCTGAGTGTGCCGGAGAAGCCTGCGTGCATTCTGGCAATGGAGGCATTGCAGATGATGTTAGAGATCTTCAGGTGCCCAGCCTCGTCCTTGGCCAGTTGCAGCACTGTGTGGATGTGGACGCCATCCGCAGAGGCATTGATGGACCCGATGTCATAGCTGGAAGCAAGGACAGCAGATGAGAGGAGCACACAGCTCCTACCAGCTGCAGGGCAGGGCAGCAAGGCACCCAGTGGGCATGGCCAAGCAGCGGCTGCGGCCCAGCCATGGGATAGGCTGGTGCCCGGGGCAGCGGGAGCGGGAGGTAGCTCACAAGAACCAGTAGAGAAGCTGCCTCCGGAAGCGCAGGCTGATGGAGGCGTTGTTGATGTTGAAGACGAGGTGTTGCTGAGGCTGGAAGTGCAGGTCGGAAAATGCCAGCTGCAGGTCCATCACCTTGACCCTGCAAGGCAGGGACAGAGATGGTCGGACGGACAGATGGATGCGGGGAGCTGCGTGTGCGGGGAGCAGGCAGCACTCACTGGCTGATGTTGTAGTGGAACTGCCCCTCCTTCCCGTGCAGGTCCGACACTGTGATGTTCTGCAGCTCCTGCTCCACAAAGCGCAGCCCCTCCTGTTTCACTGCAAAGCAAAGCAAGCCCGGGCTGGCCACAGCCAGGCTGCACCGCCCTCCCGGCAGCATCGTCCCCAGCCAGCCCCCGGCTCCTCTCCAGCTGCCCCACGCGCAGGCAGAGCCTTACCCAGGTGCAGACCCCAGGAGCAGCGTCCCAACCTGCCTCTTACCCAGGCCCCAGGAGCAGGGTCCCGTCCGGCCCCTTACCCAGGTCCAGCCCCTTGGAGGTAATGCGGATCCTGCAGCCAGGTGGGCTGTGCAAGGCCGTCACCAGCCAGGGCAGGAGGAAGAGGAGGAGGCAGCTGCCGGCAGCCATCTCGCACCTGGAGGCAGAGAGCAGGGTCAGCAGGGGCTGGCCCAGCGGGGCACGCAGGGGACACCCGGCCACCCTGGGAGGGAGACGGCTGCTGCCCCACCTGCTTGCAGCCCTGTGGCAGGGGATGGCCCCAGGAACATGCTGCTCCCCCCGAAACCCCCCCCAGTTCTGCCCAGGTCCCCATCGCCTGAACCCCCATGGGCCAGCAGCCCACAAGCGGCACAGCCGGGTGCTGCATGCGAGCCCCCAGCAGGGACCCCGCGATGCACGCAGGGTCCGACGTCCCCTGGGAACACTCACTCCTGCCGGCGCCAGCAGTGTCCCACCCTGCCCTGAACACACCCAGCTCCCAAAACTGCACGGCGAGGTGCCAGCCCGGTATGTGCTGCTGCAGCGGGGAACCCCACCGCCCCGCAGAGAAGGGAGCCCTCTCCTGTGGGGCTGCCCC